TGTGAGATATTGGCTATTACGCAGAGTTATGGCGAAGATTCGCGACTGATCTTCACCAGCTAGCTACAAAGTCGTGAATGACTTCAGGTTCTGTCAGAAGCAGATTTTGTGAGGCATTTCCTTCAACTTTTATTCGTTAACAAGTGACAGAACTTCAAATACAAGTTATATTATAAAATGACGTTTGTAATATATTTGTAAAACAAATGTTTATAGTAGAAACTGCAGAAAAATTCGAAGAAGCTAAAAAAATTGGAATTTAAACAAAACAAGATGATAAAAAAAAATTGATTGTTTGATGATCTTCTAATTTCTCATTTTTCTTTTTAGAGTGTCTATTAGTCACTGGCTAGACATGCCATCTAAATTCATGCAAATATTTTGAAGTAAATATCTATAATAATCCTTGGCTTCTTGATTTTTTCACTCGTGTGTTTGCCAACGAATTTTTGCATAAAATGGTGTTACGTTCAACATTTTGTCACGCGAAGCTATTTCGTGACTGCCGCGGACTTCCTTAAAGACTATATTTATAAAGAAATAAATTAACGTTTTCCAAGAAATATTCCACTTGCTGCAAAAACAGAGATATCTTAAAAAGTGATTGTTTTCTTTTATTTATATATCTAACTGAGAATGTGAATTTTCATAAATTGTGGTTTTTTCATTTTTAATACATACACACAGAGAGTATATTTCTATCCGATTCTATTATCCCGCTATTTCCCACTCCCTATTTCTCGCGTATTTGATAACAGTGCTTTAGTGTGTATACTTGTCATCCGCCTACCACAAAATGTCTCCTTAAATAGCTACGGGGATAACAACGTCATCTAATGCAATAATTTACGACGAACTAAAGTACCGCGAGACGCTTTTATGCGAAGCGGGAAACAACATCGGTCGAGCGAAAGCTCTTGAAAAGAGAAATGCCTGGACGAAAGGGTTCCGCAAATTAGGCGTGTTTCGTCGCATTTTATTCGGGTCTCGCGAGGATCGTGTCTCTGGGCAGGCCCCCGGGTTCAATCCCGGGTCGGTGATTACTGATCTTTCTGGGCTTCGAGTGACGGAGGATGAGGCCCGGACGACTAGAGACGTTTCTGCGTATGCCGTCCTCCTCCGCCAGGACGACGGCTGCGCGCCACATCGCATCGGCGAGAAAAAGGATGGAATCGTCTTAAGCGCCAAATTGCACGTATGCTAAGTGGCCGCGACTCAAATTATTATTATCATCTTTCCGGCCACGGGAATTGCCCTTCCGAGAATGATTACACGCGGCGCGTCTCTTACCGCCGCGTGTAGGATCATTTCGCTTTTTGGGGGGGCTCTCTCTCGACGACGGGAGAGCCGCCTCTCCTTTCCTCATTTGAATGCGATTTGGACTGCCAGCGGTGCGCAATCACTCGATGTAAAGTTTTCTAAACGTGAGTTTACAAATCCTACAAATATTTAAAAACTTTCGAAAAATCCTCGATTACATTTGATACATTAATTTTTATTTTTTATTCATCTTATGTAATAAAAGCATAAAGTTGTATCATAATGACTGCTTTTACATATTTTAAAAGACACTTCATACATGGTGTTTTGAAACATTTATCTCAATGCGCGCAAAAACGAAATACAGATATCAAATATAAAACAAAGTTGCAAATGGATGTAGCATGGGGAACGCTCTCTGTTATGGTGAGAGAACCACTGTGGAAATGATAGAGTATACAAAGCAATTCGTGCTCTCGAGCTCTCGATTGGAGGTGATTCTCGTAATACGTTATTAATTTGAATGCCTCGTGCGTGATGAATTATTTAACGGGGCGCGATTAGCCTAATGCATTATCGCGCATCCCTTTTTCCTAAAGTTCCTCGTTTCTTGCTTATAAACGCGAGATCACTTATTCGTGATTTCGGAGATTAATTCTTACCTGGCAAAAAAACAGCTGAATTCTTTTAATTGTGCGATTTAACGGAGAATAGCGAAAAGAAAGAATGTTTCCCGGAATAATATTTGCCTAATTATTATTATTATGTCTTTGACTATGTATATACTAGCTACTTTTGCGGAGAATCCAACGAAATCATAGTTTAGAATAAAATGTATAATCACGCTTTCTCCCTGTATTCTACTTAATCATGCTACACGACTTGTCTCTAATGCGTGAGATGTATCTTGAGTGAAATCACATGTATTATGTAAATCGTGAATATGTAAATCGTTATAATTACCTACTTTGGTGTTTTATTCAGAAGTCGCGTTCGAATATTTGTGCGCTTGTTACAATCCTATATTCTTCAATATTACTATCACGGAATATTATACTAAAGTATGTGTATTTTTGTATGTAAACAATTTTGCAAAATATGTTACCAAAAAACTTTCCCATTTCCTTTCCGGATCAAAATTGTGACAAGTAACACTCTGGAATTATAAAAATTCAAATTAGATCTCAAAGTAGTATATTGAGCGAAAACGTGACTACAACAAAAACGTGAATTATCATGAAATGTCGCACCTCGAGAGACAATCCTGAAGAGTGCGCAACGTATAGCACGCAAGGTCTGATTATGAAGGTGGGTTCGATAAAAAACATAGAAACTATATTTAGATATATGCCGAGGGATATATCTGAGTAACGATCCATGTTCGTTTCAAGACCGATCATAGCGCGCACCCGAGATAATTAGGGCTCATAATTTGGCCCGCGGTAAAGATTTCGAAAAATGCCGAAGAGTCAAACCAACCAAATTCGTCGAATCGACAGATGGTCCCCGACAGACGCACAGGAATTCCGTGGGTGGATCCTCGCCTCGGGGACGTTTCCCGGGGCGTAGTTCCAGTGACGGTTATTTTTTGCTCTTCTCTTCTCGCCGAGAAGGAACTTGATCAAGAACGTCTCGAGATGTTTGCTCAAAAACTGCGCGTACTTATAGTTTAAATGATAATTCTAAACGCATATTTTTTTGCTTCTTATTCTAAGATTTTATTTTGCACAATTTATTCTTTCAAATCGCGCTTCCTCACATAGTTCACAAATTGTTTAATTTGTATTATTGTCCTCACTTATTAGTTTTGCGTTTCTTTTTAGAGTAAAATTGGTTCTCCAATTTCGCGAAAACCGTTCAACCGTAACATCGAGAATTTTAGTATCTAACGTGATATATTGCAACGGCAGTTTTTCCATCATTCATGAAAACGATCTCTTTCTAAGCACCGAAATTGCTAGTTCTCTATTAAAAACGATTCTCATTAAAGTTTTTCGAGACTGGAACGATTTCACTCGCGATAGAAAGAGTCGGTTTACCTCTATTTCACGGAATTGGGCCTGTGGAGCGCCGAATTCGGCGCCATAGGTAATACATGCGGGTGGAAGATTGCATGATTACAGTTATTATGGGAAATTTATAAAAAATCGATCGAGCGTTGGTGGTGCGTATACACATCCTTAGTAACGGACCCACATGCCGACGTAATTTCTCTCTTACAAAGCGACCTAATCGGGCCGATTACCGGAACTTCTGAAAAACTGGCCAGAGTAGAATTACGGCAGCGGTAGGTCCTTTGTAGGAACCTTGATGGAGTCTTTTCAGTGTGGGTTATATCATCGACGACCATCTTAATAACGTAAATTTTATTGTTTAAATTAGACGTGACATATTATATCGTATCTACAAGAAAAGTACAAAGTTATAAGTTATATGCTATATGTATGTAATATGTTATGTGGTAATACTCGAGTACGTGAGATAGTGAGAAATTTTTACTTTAGACGCTTACGAACTCGTTTGAATATACTGTGAGATGAGGGAGAGGGTGGGAGATTATACTGTTGCAGGATGAGGAATGTGAGGAAGGAGAGGAAATGGGAGTTCACAAAACATACAAAAATAAATGTGAATCGCCGAAAGCAGCCACGACAGAAGGCACGATAAATTGCTACATGGAAGCAGATGCTTGCGTAGAGTCGCTATTACAAATAATTGCTTTTATCTCATTCCGTTTGTCCTCGCCATCGTTATCCTGATCTTCGCGATCAATCATTGCAAAAATGTACGCGATAAGGAGAAAATTTATTAAATGACAAAAATATGAATTAGAAACAAAATTGTTTAAAAAACAATTCGTAATTGAGTATGTAAACAAATTTTATAAAAAAGATAAATAATATCTTAAATGCTTTTAAAAATGCAATTTTGTAACTGATTGAACGCGAAAAAGATCACAAAGTTACTTTTAGCTAACTTTATCCCTTCTCTACTATTCATTCTTTATTTTTTCTCCGTTATATGCTTATTATTTCTTCTATACTTTTTCGTTTCTCTTCGAATACATTTGCGAGCTTAAGATATGATTTGTCCGCACGCCGAAAAGGTATGTGCTAACATAAGATAAAGTAAAACTCGCTCTTACAAGAACGGCGATCTCAAAATACAAAACAAGATATTATTGCAAACATATCATTATCCACATAACAAATAAATGAATCAAATAATTGCTGAGTTTAGTTGCCGATGTATATTTACAACTATTTTTCACAAAAAAAAAGTTGCTATAATTGATAAGAAAACAAAATATTCTTCAACAGCGCACGAAACTTTCTCTTTCAGATCTGCTACTGCTGCTATGAGCTTTGGCGATTGTAACAAGCAACTTAAATCTATTTGTTAATTCTCTTGTGACGTGATATCACTAAAAAATACTATTATTCTTCGATTCGCGTGAAACTTAGTCATATGTCGCGATTATCGAATCGAATCGCAATGAGTGTGTTTGACGCTCGGATAAACTTTCTCAATTTATATTAATTATTTTAGTCCGTAAAAAATAGTGATTAGTATGAGCGTACGTATATCATTTTTTTTCTCGAATAGGGATATATATATATATATATGTATATGTGTATACATATATATATTTATATATTTGTGTGTTTACTTACTCGGATTTATATTTTATAGTTTATATTTTATATTTTATATTTTATATTTTNATATATATTGCCTATATATGTAACTAGAACGCGTGTATATATTTGGCTTGTGAGTCGACAACATGGATAAGATGGAAGTAAGGAGCATCTATGTGAGTTGAACACGCGAGCTCGTGCGAGTTAAACGCAAAATTGTAAAAATGCGTTTTTAAATAAAACAAAAATAAGGATAAAAATAACGAATACAACAATCCGTTGTACGTTTCAACATTATGAAACAATGCAATGACACGATAGTGAGCGAAAAGTAAAAGAGAGCATTCAAAAATGAGAAATTGTAGTCCTCTGTACAGGATCGCTGTGTCGTATTCCTGCAATTTCTTTTTATCTTACTTAACATATTTACACAAGCATAGTTGATTAAAACTAAAATTATTAAAAAATAACAGAAGAAAATATTTCGCGAATTCCTTCGGTACGCGTGTCGTGCATGAAAGAATCGTTCGATTCTTCGAAAACTCATCTCTCTTGTTGTGCAAAGAAAACAAAGAGCGTTTAAAACTCACGATAAACAATCTAGCTTCGTGTAGCTGTAAAGCAGCTTTTCGAAACGAAGGATTATTCATCCACAGTCTTGTGACTCTTGGTAGATTTGTAAAAACAATCGTACCAATACTCGGTCAATATCATCCGATTAACGCGCGTTTCTTATTCTTTTTACTCAAAGTTGTAAACGTGTTGTTAAGTCTTTAAAGCGTATTACGTTGTAATTGTTTAGATGTTTAACTTTCGTGTGCAAATTACGCATTATACCGTGATTTGATCGCATCACGTTAACGACGCAGTCGTTTAGACAAAGGAGGTTTTAATTGGTCATGGTTAAACTATGCGCAAATACATAGATTGAAAATGTTAATATTCCTTCAAAACAGTGTTTTCTTTGTAGTTATAACACCTATTGAGTTATGTGAGTATAAACTTTTTAACGCGATTTTCTTAAAATAAATCAAAATATCCAGACAACGCTGTTAACACATTGCGAACCAGAAATCTTATCACGAAATCCGTCCGCAATATGTTAAAAGACGAACTATTGTGTATTCAAATATTCTAAAAACTCAAACAAATAAATAGTAATACGCGTTATCATGACAGGCCTTTAAACAGGCGGTAAGGCCCACAGAGTTGCCGTTTTGTCAGCGGAAGTACTAAGGAACGAGAATTCCGTCGGATGCCAGCGTCCGGAAATGACTTTGTCCTGATGTTGAGCGACCACAACGCTAGGTAGAGGCATCGTAAGATCGCCTATAACACATTCGTTGCCAATTAAAACTAATTACGGTGTGATTCCACATTTTAAATACTATAAAATACTCACCTTGCAAATCTGTGAGTACCAATTTGTTGTCGTATCCTGCTGTCAATAAGTAATACGCCGACGGCGAAAACCGTATGCTTCTAATATCTGCTGCATGAGGTTTAAAACATTGAACTGTTCTACCGCCGCGAATATCGAAGAGAACGCAACTGCTGTCCTCGTGACCGGATACTAGAAGCCGACCGGATGGATCCACACACAGTGCGGCCACAGGACTGCCGACCTGCAAGGGAATCAGATGCTACTCAGACAAACAATACCGCTTCCATTCTCGATGCTAGTCGTAAAAACGTCCGATAAAAATTCGACAATAAGACGGGAAGAAGTGACTAAATAACTTGTGATCGGGAGTGATGGTGGTGCGATGTAAAACTGTATATCGAATATTTATCGGACGTGAAACTGAATATAAAACTAGAACAGAACAAAAAGATGTTGGCGATGATGGCATGCCGGATTTTAAATGATGACTTCTTTTTCTATTCATTCTCTAAGTTTCATTTTTAAAGAGTAGATTGGATTCAGTTTTCGATCAACTAACGGTGATATATAAGGAAAGAGAAATGTTAAAATATGTGGAAACAATTTAGAGTATTTCTTCTTTGTGGCTCTATTTATAAAGAAACTATATTTTTGTATTCGGTTTCCCATCATCTAAGAGCCATGATTATCAGTAAGAAAGATTCTAATATGACAAACATTCGACGAAGAACCCGACTAACCCTGCTGCCAGGTACCGTCGCAGGTGTGACCATATTAACGCAACCTCTCGTTCTCAAGTCCCAGAATCTGACTGTTTTATCCTGCGAACCGCTGACGAACATCGCACCACCCCAATTGTACAGCGTTAGCACGTGGCCGCTGTGACCGCTCAAGGCCTGGAAAGGTGTTCCAGTCGCGCAATCGGTAACATAAATTTTGCAATCGCCAGCGCCACCGCTGATCAGAAGACTTGACTTGTTAGACGTGTCCTCGAGGAAGCACAAGTCGCGTACTGTACCATCGTGCATGGTCAACTCGACCTCTTGTCCTGAAGAAATTAAATAGAAAATTATTTTTGTACAGAAAATATGAAAAATATTGATATTTTCTTCTTAATAAGAATTAATATATATCACAAAATTTTTACATTATTAGCAAAATATATTTGTATAATATTTTGATTATTCAACTATATGTTAAGTAGCTTCCCATAGAAAATCTAAAATGAAAAAAAATAACAAAAAAAGTCTTTAATTTGTAAAAACTGTCTTTAGAAGTATAACGTATGAAAATAAGTAAGATTTTGTTTTTATAAAAAAGTAATACCTTCAAGATTCGAAGTATCAGCGTTGAAACGCATTAATTTCACGGTCTTGTCATTACTTCCGGTTGCCATCAGTCGACCATCCGGTGTCCACGCGAGACAATATATGGAGCCTTTGTGGTGCTTCGTTCTCTTGAAGAGAACTGTAGGTTGATACGTCTGATGGTCCTCCCTGAAAAAAATCGCGTAATACCGTTATTATTTTGTCATTAATGTTAGCCAGCGATCATAAATATTAGAAATAAATTTCCACTCATAAATCATCCCGAAGAGAAGATTCTATTTCACTCGAGAGCCGTCAATCAGCCCGAGGAAGAAGAATGCTCAAGTTCTCGCGGGCATCACTTTCATCGAGCTGTTTTTCTTCCTCGTTCCCAGCCCTCATCAGGCACGTCTCTCTAATTGAAGCTGATATTGCCGTGTGCTACGTTTCGGTCGTGGAAACAGGGAAGAGGCTCGACAATTTTAAAGAGATGACGGTCGCTTTCACGACGTCAGTGTTTTATGCAGATTTTAATTAAGCGCAGCTCTTTCCCACCGCACGCAACAGACGCACATGAGATTGCATTCGGTCCTCTGCACGCCGATCAAAATATTCAACCATAAAATTGTCATTAATTATTATTTGCCCTCTTGTGAGTCTATTTACCTTGGGCGTAATGCGCGAAATTAGCGTCACTTCTGCTTGCAGTAATTTCTACCGAGTGTCAGAGGAGAACGACTTTCGAAAGTGACGATTATTCGCAGAGACGGTTTCTCCCTGGATAATAACGGCATTATAGAAGATGATTATATTGAGTGATAAGGATAATATAGAATTTTAAGAGAAGAGTTAACGCATGTACATATAGTATAAGAGAGAGTGTGTTAAAAATGTTTTTATCTTCAGAACCATTTACGTGATATAAAAATCTAACATTTCTGAAGCTTTAAAGATAGTTAAAAAAACTCGCATATGTTTATAATGTTAATCCTTCAGTGCCAGATATAAAGTAAAGTCACGTGCTGTTTTTTCTCTCCTTTTTGTCACATGACCTTACTTTAATCATGTTTTTAAACTTAACAAGAAGGGTTAAAAGTATCTAGTATAAAGATAACAAACTCGCAAAATTATTAAATCATCGAATAAATTATGTAAAATAATATTGAGTTGTCGGAAAAGTTTTAAACCTTTATTCGAGAGCTTTATTTTAAATCTCTGTGATATCAAACTGAGAATGCGCCCTATTCTGATAGATAATCTTTTGTTATCTTGTGTAGTGATTTCAACAGTGTAGAATTTCTGCGGTTTCATTACACGTTATCTCAAAAACGTTTAAAACTTTTCTCAACAACCAATCCAATAATTGAGTTATCATAGGAGTCTTAATAGTCGCGTTCTCATTCCCAAGTGCTTTGCTTCGTTTGTAGTAGCGCTGGCCTTTGCTTCGCAACGCAAATATATATCCCGATACAAACGACTTCCTGTTACCTTATAATTTCACATAAGTTTTTAACTACGAGTACGTGCTTATCATTAACGTCATAATTACGCTGCAAATGGCATTGCGCTGCTTAGAAACTATTAAATGGATTTTATGAACTATTTATTTGCCGCGTCTCGCGCGTTATGTCGTAAGATAGGTCAGGAAAACGCTTGAGATATATTTGGAGTCTGATGACTATGTAAGTAGTGTAACGGCAAAAGTACGCAACGATTGCGCAAGACGCGCGTTTGCCACACTTCGCACTTTCTGCTATAAACCGGATATTAGATTTTCCACAAAATAGAGATACTTTATTTCATACTGGAACTTTCACGACGCAAACGAGAGTCATTTCGCACGTAAAGCAACTCGAATGGAGTGCGACGTTATCCTGCAAACGGACAAATGAAAATTGCTACGTGTTATTGACTTTAGACACAAATTACAGATCGTTGAACTTGCCAGAACACTGTGTTAACGTCTAAATGTACACTGCTGCGAATTCTAGACGGAATATTCTGCGAGTGAAAGGGGTCCGCCTTGTTGTCCACCTTGTAATGCAAAGCAGGCAATCTCTTAAACTGTATATAATACTATCTTAAAAAAAAGAAAAACGAAAGAGAGAGTGCGATTATATTTTACATTATTTCTTAGAGCGTTACGTGAGCGTGACATTTTAGTTTTTACATTCCGATTTATTCAGTTGATCACATTATTTTCTAGTTATTATTTATTCAAACTAACATGCTTTTTATATTTCTTAAATATTAAATATCGTTACGGTAATTGTAAAAAATGTTCTACTTTTTATATATTTCTGTAAATTAATAAAGTCGACATAAAGTTATGTTAGAACTAAACAGTAAAAACAAATTGTTTCTTAAACTTATTTAAAATTTTCTTTAATTTTATGTACAATTTAATCATTTTTCTTTCTCAAAAATATATGAATTAAAAATTATACAACATTGATAAAAAATATCGCAAAACGCGTTTACAACAATTTAAGCGGAAACGATGTGTAGCATAAAAATAGCCAGTAATGGAAACACTGTACCGGCAATCTACATTCGCTGGTAGGAATGCTCCGTTTAGCATGAAGGCTTTTGCCGTTCGTTAGGCCTGCGTGTTGCGTAAAATTAGTTTAGCAGACGCAAATTTATACATGACCTGTCTCAAACTTATAGGCGACAAGTTTAAAGTTTAGTTGTGGATTTTGCATAACACGAAATCTTTGTTGCAATCAAAGTATAACTTCAATAAAATTTAATAATTATGCATATAAGTGTGTGTTGTTAAAGATATAAATATCACATGTAGCGAAAGTTGCATATACAGTCTGTCAAAGAAAAACTAATTTAATGACTGTACACCTATTAAACTAACACTTGCACAATATAACTCGTTACCATTAATATTAATACTGAACCGATATCTCACGACTTGACATATTAGTTACAATGTGAAGGAACGCATTTGATTAATCACAATCTCGTTCTAATTACTCCAAAGAGCAAAGTTGCGTTGATATCATCGTACAGATGATAGATAAGACTAAGTTTATTGAATAGTATAACGCGTTCCGCGGTCGCGGATTTTTCTCGCGCAGTCATTTTTCGCGACTATTTCAAGAGAAGATTCAAAACGTGTCCGTGAATACAAAACGGCGCTAAGCTTCGTTAAGCAGGATTTATCTTCGTCTCAACAAGTCGTAAATTCTAGTCGTAAAACGCGCTTATCACAGGTGAGAGATTACTTTGTATCATCGTCGCGTCCCAGCCTTTCCGCGATTTGTAACGATTGCATCGGTCTTAAGTTTCCTCCTTTCTCAACTTAAATATAATTTACGATTATTTTCGCTGGCGCCGCTAAATGTATCACGACTCTCTCCGCGCTTTTCGCGGAAGCGTGAATACAAGCTCGTCTGATTTCTCTCGACTCGACGACAGGATATCTTTATTCTTTATCGCTGCGTTTTTCGATAATCGTGTAACGCAAATTATATTCGCTGTTTCTTGTGTGAAATTATGGCAATATTATTATGGCATATTAATATCATAATAACGCAATTTTCCAAAGATAACACTTCCGATCCATGTTAAAGATCATATCATTAATCGTCGCGTACGTATACAATTTTGAAGCAATTTACACGCGACATCGAAATGCTTTGTTGCGATCATTCATTATTACGATTACACTGTTTCCAATTTGATTGAGTCACAGTCGCGATTTAGCGATTTCTCTCGAGTATTTTCCAACATGAAGTAGTATTACTTGTTTGTACACATTTCTTATTGATACAAGTGCGATACAGGACAACTTTAATATCGATATTAAGTATCACTTACTTTGATATTTACTTAAATAATAATTTCAGAACTATTTATAAAATTATTTTTGTGATTTGTCGAAAAACTTCAGGAAAATATATAAAATTCATTATTCTTAGAGTTTTATAATATATTTACCTTCAAGAAAAATAAAAAAAAAGTAATTAATTAACAATTCATAAATAAAACATAAGTTATTTATTTTTTATCGTGATTTCTCTTTCTGAGAAATTTCATTATTCTCACCTGACGTCATGCAACTTTGGATAGGCACATATCCGTAGCGTCTTCGAATTGGATCCCACGGCGTAGAGTTTCCCATGGGGATGAAATTCGGCGCAGCGCACCGCCTGCACGTCCTCCAGAGTGGTGACGGGAACGAATCGCGGCCTACCGCCGCCATTACTGCTTCCGTTGCTGGTGTCGAGTTCCGGTCGCGGCTCTTGCTGCAAAATAAGATCCGGGCACGATTGTTACTCGATTTGGTATTAACGTATAGTTGTATATCATCGCGCGGGTAAAGAAACGAGCGCGAGTGTGCGTAACTAATAATACGCTCGTCGTAGCACGGCCGATCTGGAGCCTCCGTGTTCATTGCAGCCATTACACGGAAAAGGAATGACGAGGTACTGTTTTAACGAGATATAATGAATGCCCGTCGGCAACCGCGTTTATTTGCGGAAGGGACAAGTATCGCGGCAAGTTCCGGATATATTTTTGCATCCGGCTCTGCCGCGATAAATATGGAAACATTGCAGGTGCGATAAACATAATATCATTAAGTTCAATTAACATTCTTCACAATATCGCACAATATTGCATTTAATATGCTCGTGCGTTTCCTATTTTCCCATGCATTTATAAATGCTGAAATTATGCATATTTGTGGCAACAAGAAAGTTATTTGCATTTATATATGTTATATAAACGTTTTATAAATTTTATATGCTAGGTGCTAAGAAAAAATTTTAATATGAATGTTTCAGACAGTCATAACAAAATGAATAGACCAATGCGAGTTGATGGAAATAAAAAAGTAATGAAAGTATAAGAAAAACTGATATTTATACAGAATCTTCAGATAATTGCATTATGAGAGAAGCTGTGCGTATAATGTTCTATTTAAAATATTAATTATATTTACCTTGATAAAGTTTTATAATAGCTTGCTATCACGTTTCCATATTAATCTTTTAAGTATATAATCTTTTAAGCTTTTATCGATATTAAGTTTGTATGGAAATATGCATGTTTATGTATCACGACATTTCACTTTCTCGCACATATCGAAAAGATGAGTTTCTTCGTTTTTTTCTCTCGCAAGATAGTTTATTAGATACCTCAAACTTGCCAAACCACCTTGCACGCAACGGACCGATCGAAAGGTAAAAAATTAAGAAACGCTAGAAAGTTACATCCTGCCTTGGATTTCTACCGCAGCTTTTGCTTGTCAAAAATTCGTTAATTTTAATATTCATAACATAAATTCGTCAAACTCATAAATATATCGCACAAAAATAGTTTCTCTTCTTTGATATTGTTAAATCAAGTAACTGCGTAAGTTACAACATTTCTCATTAAAAAATGTTTTGTAAAAAACAAACAAAGTGAAACTGTTATAAGTTCAAACAACGATACGATAATTTCACGCAGCAATTTTCCACATGCACATGAAAGAATATACTTTCCGCTTCAACACTGACGATTAAGCAATTGTTAGGCAACTATTGAATACAGCGCGTTGATAAAAAAAAACTCGACGCTTCTTGCTCTGCAAAACGTTGCTTTTTTTCTAAAACTACTAGGAATCGTTTCGTGATTCGCGTTTGCGCAACGGCGCGCTTCGCCACGCTTTTACTTTCAAGTCGGGATTGGTAGCGACTTTTATCTTGATGAATAAATTAGCAAAGCAAATTCACTCTGTCCGTCGTTGTTCGCTTCTAGGCGCACCGTGCAGCACGAGCGAAATTATGAGCGCTCGTGTGCATTTTCACGCGCCGGCGTGTGTCTAACGGTGCTGATGCCGCTTGTTGGCGATCGCTGCTGCTTGCCAATTTGGTATGACTTACGCACAAGCAATTAGATCTCGGATGCGCGCACGAGATTTTCATGGAAATATGAGAGATACGAAGAAACTGCGAGTCGATGTAAAACATCTTTTCATGCTTGGTTATTAATACAATTAAACGAATATTTTTTATCGTTCCACACCGACATAAGTCGTTATCTCAATCTTAATTGTTTGCTAATATAGTAAATAATGTTTGCAATACGAAATATAATTATATTTACAATTATCTTAATATGAGTATATTCTCTCTCTATATGTGTATACGTGTATAAAGAACGTTTATTATCTTTGAGAACAATAGCACACGAAAGAGAGAACAATGAAAAGAGATTGCATCACGAATGACATTCTCCATACACCTGTTTCGCATTTCACTTTTGTGAGAATAAATGTCTTACTAATGATCATTATGCGATTTATTGATTTCATTCGATAAGAATTTCTTACTCCCAATGAGTCACTTTATCTGAGAAAAAAAATATATAAGTAGAATTGGAGGGTTGAAATAAGATCAGATATTTATAATTGCAATCTCGCTTGCGAAATCACTACCTTTCACCTCAACGTACTCTAATCACTCACTTGTTCGCCAGAGAAGGCGGTGATTATACTTAATCCCGATCTTTGTATACTTTCTCTAAAAGAACCTTAATTTTATTCACCCTGTAATCCTAAACCCGCGCTGATCGTCATTATTGTGCCGTGAAAAGGAAAATGAGAAGAATAACCATGCCATCCGCGATCACTCTTTTATAACAAGGACGGCACGGGATTTATGAGTGAGAACGAGGCCGCGAACGAGAGAATCAATTGTAAGATCGACGCGAGATTCTCGACATCGCGAAAATTCTGACATTCTCCTCGTGCGATCTTCCGGGCGAGAGAACTTAACAACCGGAAAAGATCCTAGGTCGTAAAGTTTTGTCAGAAAAAAAGCGGATAAAACTCGGAATATAATCGAAGTCTAGTTTTGTCGATCGGTCAATAAACTCGTTGGCCATCGGTATTACGGACGTTCGGTCTTAGCTCTCTCCACAACTTTGTGAACGCATCTGTTACCGATGATGTATACACAGAAACGTCATAACACGTAGACAGATCCCGTACGAAAGCGGGACGAAGATGACGAATAGAATTTTGAGACATCAAACTGTTGGTATTCAGTTAATTGACTATTTGTATATTACGAAGAAATAAAGTGTGTCAAAGTGTAATGTTTTTCAATTACAGTTTGAATATTCATATACAGGTACATAGTTATATATACAAACGATAGCCAAGCTTTTTGCGCGCTCATGATTCTTACGCGCGCGGCAGTTCGATGGAAGAAGTCAATATAACAAGTTAGTTAACTAAGATGCCGATGCATCTAGGTTTGAAGGTAGTTGATAATAGTTGATATCCGCAACATTCTTCATTTACTTTTTATGAAAAAAAGGGTGGATCGCGAAAGATCCGCCGGATGCCCCGAAGGTCTTCAAACACGCGTCTTCGATCGAAGATTGGTGGGTTGGATTCAACGACGCGTGAAAAAAACAACTAATAAAGAGACCTCGACCTGATTGTCGATTCCGACTTTTTACTTTCCTTCGTCGCTACATCGTTGTCGTTAGAAAACGATGCAACATGCAATGAATTTCCGATCAAGCTCTTAAATCCGATATAATTACAAGGTTGTGTTCCAAGTGCGAGAGATGCGATCGCTGAATTGCCGAAGAAAATCACGAACGGCTCATTTAACATTATCGCAGCAAGATCAAGCGAGTTTTCTTTCGGTTTGACGATAATTATCAAAATTTTCACTCTTTTCTAAAAAAAAAAAAAAACCGGTCAGACTGGATTTATCGATGATGTTCGTTTTTAATTCTGTGTCGTAGAAATCAGGCTCGAATACATATTTAATAAAATGATTACTTAAATGTCGTTGATGCAAGAAATAGTCGCCAAGAAAATTTATATACGTATAGTACGTTCGATACATTTTGGATAACAAAACCCGGTAAAACCGGACGTTTTCCATATCTAGGTTACGACATACTTTTTCGTCGTTGGTCAGTATTATTCAGACGGAAATCGAAGGTGCACGTGAGTTTAAGGACATCCGAGATTCCGACGCACGAATTTCACCGTATAATTTCAGTATGAAATCATTGTGCGAAATTGCGCGCACATTCCCCGCAACCGGAAAGATTCGTATCACACACTGCGACTTTTATTTTTAAAACTTGTATACAATTAATATTTATAACTCTCTAGTTAGCGTGTTGTTATTAATACAATTATAATTGTTGCCACATTGTTTAATTTTGTATTAAGACGACAAAAGATATTCAACTACTGTAGTTAAAATATTAAGAAATCGTTTCTCTCGCATTAACCGTAAAATTTATTCAGATAAGCAAGTGTGGAAGTAAATTAAATTATAATTTAAATAAAAGAGATTTGTTTTTGGAGAAAGAGACAAAGGAATAAAAAATTACACCAACGTTGCGAAATACATTTTTGAGAACATTAAATTGGGTCAAGCAAACATGTTACTTATTAATCAAATTTTCAGAATAGAGAATATAAAATAATTCAAGAAGTTGGCGGCATTTCGTAAGAGGTTACTTGCAGCCAACAAGTTCTCCCAATTTTTCACTCGCGAACGAGATACGACTACTGCAATTTGAGACTGACACGTATATTGCCAGCGTGTGATTTTTACTCGACTGCAAACATTTAAGTCTACCAGTCGTTTGCTAATAGTAATAGTTCAAACGATGATATTGAATCACCATATGAAAGCTTGGCAAAGCGAGCGTAATTCTCGTCGACATCCCGCATATGTCACAATCTAAATAACACTGTTATTTTTCAGATGTTATTAAAATGTCATTTTTACTTCTACGGCGAAACTATCGTCTTCTCTTGATTTACGAACACATTAATTTTCTTACGTATGACGGTATCACGGAGGAAGCCTTCGTAACTTTCTATCGTACGTACGAAACGCACGCGAAGACGATTATAATTAAGCGGTCGATTACTGCGTGACGCAAACCGCACTTGTTGGTTAATAATGGATTCCGTCTCGCCAGAGAGACAGACAGAGGAACTCGAAAATTATGTCGTTTGCAATTTCGACATACGCGCCGCAATTCGCGACCGTTCAACGGGAACAAAATCGATGTGCGTTTTTCCTCCTTGGTTGTCGCGAGTTAATACGTCCCGTCACACCAATTAATTGCGCAACGCGAAGAATACTTTGCTTTCACTAAAGAAATAGCCGATATTACCGTGTACCGATCATTTACCGCGATAAATCTGGTAATCAATTCAATTTCCTGAACGATTGTTTTTCGCAACGAAATGGACTCGAAAAGAGCAGGAAGT